AGACAGTACAAAACACTTGCTCACATGCCATGTGCAATTAAAGTTTTAAATGGACATGGTGTAAATCAGACCTCATGTCAAATGGAAAGTGGTTAAATGCATTTTCCCAAGTTTATCATATTTGTCTTCCCTAATTTTTGCTGTGACTTTCTTTGGGCTCTTTTCCCCTCAAGTGTTGCATCTTTGCACTTGCTGTTAGAGAACTGACCAAGGTCCAACACTTATTAAATCAAATGAATTCATTTACATTCAGATCCAACTCAAACTACATCACAATAAAGTTGTTTGCTTCTGTTATATAACTGTATGTATGGGAAAGAGATTATTATTTGCAGTGAAGAAGGTTTTAAATTTTGCCACTTCTCCTTGGCTTTTGTTGTGTGGGGTTTTTTTGGCACAATAATGAAGTATTCTGCAGCCCTTACTATCCATTCTTCAGAATTGCTTCACAGATTCAAAATCACAATTATTCAATGCATTATTTGGTATGGACTACTTTTCTTTTGCAGGCAATATACAGCAGTCTATTTAGAGAGAGGAGGTCAGGTTATGATGGGCCTTGCACATCACATCTTACCTCTGAACAGAAATTTATAACCTTCTCCTTTGTCCTCCTTTGTGAATGCTCACAAAATAACCTTGGTATTTCCTTTCTCTTGCACATCTTGGTATTGAAACTTAGAGATGTGGTTGTTTGGGGGAAGGAAATATAAAAAGCACAGCTCAGGAAGAGGCATTAGAAATGTGGACCAGAAATTAAAAAAAAGTTTTTAATTAGTTTCCAAGTAGAAAAATCAGTAATATGATAAATAGCTTAAATGTATAACACTTATCTCTTTATTGCTTGTATATATTACCCAAGTGTTAGCTAAACAGCCAATAGTTAGACAGACAATAATTTTTTTTCATCTTTAATGCCAGAAATCAGACAGAGTTATGATGTCTACCGATTTCACCTTAACACAATTGCAAATTGAAGAATTTTCTATTTTCATACACAATAATGGTTGTCTTTAATACATCCACAATTGAGGTACAGTGGCTTTCATTCTTCTTAGGGAAAGAATATTTGATGAATTTGGAGGCCAGAGATGACAAAAGAAATATGGGCAGCACCTGAAAGCACTCAAGTGGCAAAGCTATATCACAGCTCAAAAATTCCTGCCTTCCAAATTCCTCTTCAGGCTTGTACTAAACTGCTACTGATGAGCTTTACATGCTTTACAGTCTGCTATACATTCACCTCCCACACACACCTTGAGTAATGAGGTACAGGCACACTTTCTTAAGCAATTAAAAAGAAAATGAATTAAGCATCAGGGAAGATGGACTTGTTATCATTATTGTGTTTCTGTGGGAAAAAAAAATTGTAGATCCATAGTTTTACCTCTCCTTCTTAATTTATTCATATGGAATGAAATCTGATGTAAAGAGAATCTGTCCCCTTGAGATGTGTCATTCTGTCCCCATCTATAATGTACAAATGGGTAAAAGCAGGTTGGTGTTCCAACAGTTAGAAAAAACAGATATATTCAGGAATCTGTGCTGCAGGCACCATCTATCTTTAGTATCTTAATGCTTCCAAGTGATTAAATACCTTCTGCACCACTATAACAAGTCTGGGCTTCTGTTTGCTATTTCACATGGTCAGTGCTTGAACTATGGATAATATTTAACTTTGAGCTCATGATCAGCTTGAGAAATACAATTTATAGGATCAAATTCCTTTAGCCCTCAGACCCCTGCTTTGTATTTCCAGGGGAGGGGCACAGGAGCTTTGCTCTGTCCAGGAAAACCTTTTACAGCACTGTAAGGGAAGAGTAGGAGATCCAAAAAGCAGTAAAACACTTTGTTCTGTGAAACAGGCCTGTGGTTTTCAGTGAGATGGTGGAGATTCCCATGTGGGCAAATAAGGGTAGACTTCAGGCCACAGTGTTGAGAGAACAGCTCTGATGATTTCAGCATGAGCAGAACCATGATACAGAGTCCAAAGAAGACATTGAGACAAGCCAGGCTGAACAAATGTTCCATCGTTTACTGGAGAGCCTTCTGAAAGGAGCACAGGAAAGATAATGATGGGTGCAGTGACATGGAGATTTAATAATGGACATTTAGGAACACCATCAATGTGAAATCTTTTTTATCTGCTAGGGACACAGACTGGGCAAGCAGATACCTGGAGTTTCTCAGTGTATAAAGCTTCATCATGGGTGGCTGCTCTGTGCTGCCACTGGGCCTTTTGCTTTTTCTTTCCAACATCTTTGAGCTCAATGGCCAGCTGGAATGACATAATTCAAGGATCCAGCTGTCTCCCCTTTGCCACCTAGCTCAGGGATGGAGGGAATGATAGGTTTGAGGCAAGGTTTGGAATGGAGGGAATGACAGGTTTGAGGCAAGGTTTGGGATGGAGGGAATGACAGGTTTGAGGACTCCTGCAAAGTCTACCATGTGCTTCAGTCTCCTCAAGAATCATGAGAATGATTAAGTGATTTGTTTAAGAACCTCCTGGTGTTTTTCATTGCTCCCCTTTGGAATCCAGCCAGTTAATAACTTCAACTTGTTTCTAGCCACATACATAGAAAACACAACAAGAGCACAGAAGCTTGTACACATTGGACCAAAGGTCTCTCTGTTGGGGGATCCTTCTTCAGCAGTCAACAAATTATCATGAGCAGATGGGGTAAAATTAATTCCATCCTCTGCCTATGTGGAGGTGCATGTTCTGAGCAGAACCTCAAGGCCAGTTCAAAGCAGAAACAGAATCAGACATTGGAAAATCATGGTGACTTTTCAGAAGTTTAGCAGACCCATCTGCTTCATCCACTGCAGCCAGGAATTATTTATTCAAAATATTTAATACAGCAAAAAAGAGGCTAAATATTTAAACATATTACACACACACACACACACACACACATATATATATTTGCAATTGATATTTGTTCCCACCTCTGTTTAATGTTTGCTGCAAAGAACACTCTTTAAGTGAGTGTTGCCTTTCTCCTTAGATGGTAAAAGCACATGCAAATTCATTTCCCCTTAATCTTTAAATCAGCAAGGACCAGTTTGCAAAAGAAGCTTCCGTCTCTTCCATATCTCCCTTGGGAACAAGCAGAGCACACAGCCTCCCTGAGACTTCCCATCTTCTGCACAGCTTCAGCTGAGGAGCATAGGGGTTATTTGCAACCACCTCTTCCATCTGCATGTCATTTCACAGCTCTCAAAAGCAGGTTCTGGAAAGTTTGGAAATTTCACATGCTTGATGAGAGTGTGAGGAATGATCCCTTGTTTTGTCCCAAAGCACACAACATCTCTGGGCTCCCCTTTTCAAACCCTGGCTCCAACACCACTGTGACACTTTGCAGCGCTGCCCTCAGCCCCTTCTTACCACGCTCAGCACGTAAATCCCTGGGAGGCTGCAGCTCTGGTTTCTCTGTCAGGAGCCCTGATTTGCCAGGAACTCAGCCAGGCTGCAAAGGGCAGGCTCTTTTCCCCTCCACACTTGCTCCCCTCTTCTCTCATGCCCTGAGTCCTGGCCAGGGAAGGACTGAGCAGAACATTGCTTTAGGTAAGGGGGTCTATCTGCAGGCCAAGAAGGGCAAGGGCAAATTTCCTGCCTTGCACCAGTTCCCAAGGGAAAACATCCTTTATGCTTCTCTGCCTCACAAAAGGCACAACAGCCTCAGAGCCTTTCTGCTTTTAAATTACCTTTGAACTAAACTCTGAACTGAGCTGGGATTCCTGTTAGCCTGCTTCAGCTCAGCAAGTGCTTTGTCTCATCATGGTGAGATCTGTGTGCACACCATGAGTCCCAGTGCTACAAGAGGAGCTCTTGTCTTTGGCTTCCAGCCTGGGGCAGGTGCAGAGGAGGCCACAGAAACCACATGGTCACTCTTAAAGGAACTACTTCCACACTTTATTTCTCTGAAAATGGGGAATGTGTGTCAGATGCTCAGATCACCCCAGGATTTACTGACAGACAGTTCTGGGTACAGAGACATAACTGGTTTCTAAAGATGAGGTTTCCATCTGGAGAGGGTATTCCACAGGATTTTCAGAGTATTCCAGAGAGTCCACTCACCAGCTAGATTCAGCTAGCAATAATACTACTGAGCTTTGATGTTACCTAACAGGATTCTACATTACAAGCAAGGCAAACTGTGTTTCCATTTCCAGAATGAAATCCAGACATGTCTTCCTAGAGCTGTTCTGAGACTCAGTCCAAAACTACTGACTTAGAACACACACAGAATTACACCCAAAGAAGGCACAGGCTCAGGTATGAGAAGCTCTGGAGATGTGGGGATCATTACCAGGATTTCTGTCACTTTGCCTGCCCAGAGACAGCACCACACTAACATGATTATGCCATTTCTCTTCCAGGGAGGACTTGGCTGTGAATTTCACAGGCTACCACCTGCATTCCACCCTGTGTACAAACACCACGTGCCCAGGGATAGCAGCAGCAGCACTGCACCAAGAGAAGAGAAGACACAGCTTGGCTTCAAAAGGTCATGAGAACTGCCTTGGCTCTGCAGCAAAAGAAGTGTTGGGTGGGAGAAAAAAATTTCTGCTTTAAACACTCCTGCAATTAAATCCTTCTGCAAAATACAGGGTTTCTTCTAGTAAGTGGGGACTCAAGGGGTTCTGAATTTAAATTAACTTCCTGAGCAAAAATAAATTCAAACTATCTAGCTCAAATTTTTCTTCATGCCATCTGCAATTATAAGGAACTTTATCAAAACCACAAAGTATAGAGTAAGGGGTCCTTAAAGAAACTCACAAAATCATTGCTGTACCTTTATTTCAAATGAGTGAGTTGGATTTTCTACTTCAGCAAATTAGAATATATTAACACATTTAGCCCAAATGCAAGGTCTTCTTATTTTTGTATTAAAAATAGCATATTTTCTCTGTGTATTTTCTGCCTAACTAAAGAACAGACATTAATTAATGTATAAGCACCATCAATTTGTCAAATCAGAAACAAAGCACACAAATACTATAATGCATCTTGCCCTTTTATTGTGTTGTATTATAGACAAAGAGAAGTACAGAACAATCACTCTGTTACAACCATAAAGTTGCAGTGTCACTCTGATCCCTTTGGGAGTCAGACAACATCCACTTGTCATTCATTCCACCTTTCTATTATAACAAGCTGCATATATCAAAACTCAACTGTGAGCAACCATTTTTCTGAAATGAGAACATGAACAAAAAACCCCAATTCTTGTAACAGGACTTTGCAATATTCTTTAGGGTACCAGCAGAATAAGCATGCACAATATCAATACCAAACCATAGACATGCTGCCCCCTGAAAAGGGGAACTGTGCTGGAAAATTCACACGTTCAGTGCTGGGGCTCCATCTCTGCAAAAAGCTGGCTCAAAAGCTGTGCATTACTTTGGTCCAGATATAAGTGGGAGTAAAGAAGCCAAAGGCTGGTATTCTTCAAGGAAGTTGTGTTAATCCTACTGTTTTCTTTGTACAATAAAATTTGGTCTATGAGGAAAACCTCTGCTGCTCTATTGACGGTGCCACAGTGCAGCGTGATGCTACCAGAAGGGAGCTGCTGCTGTGTCATGCTGCTTCTCTTGTACACAAAACAGGTCCCAAGGACCTCTAAAGGGGTTTGCTGGAATACTACAGAGGACAAAACAGACTTCTCATTTGAAATGCAGGTGCAAGGAAGGTTTTCCTTGCTGACAACCACACGCCTTTCTAACAACTTTGGCAGAATATATGGCAACATGCTCCTTTGTGTTACTGAGTAGGACTGCACATGAAATAATAACTAGGCAGTGGGTCAAAGTTCCCTATTTCCATGTGTTTGATGTTGTAGACAAAATGGGAAAGAAGCAGTTTGGAAACATACAGGTAGCTTCTATCCTAACTTACTGAGCAGGCTGAGAGCAAAATATCAAAAACACCAGCCTCTTGTGGAAAGATAGACGTATTGAAAAGAATTAGTAAAATGACTTTGAAAATGACTTTTTTTGTTGATCCTGTTCCAATATTCTTGTTTGTATAAAAAATTTGGAGCCTAATTTTTGAGTATATAGATGCTTGAGCTGATACACAAATCTCTACTTTGGGGATGATATTTTAAGCCAAATGAAAAATGTATTGTTATCAACAGGAACTTTCCACTGGGGCCATTTCTGTTCTGCTTCCCAAAATAAAGAAAAAATGAAAAAAAAAACACCAAAAAAACAAACCAAAAAGAGAAAGGATTTGTTATTCTCTTTTAAAGAGTAACAAGGCACAATCTTATTGTCTACTACTACGACTACACTGCTTACATTGGTTTGTTCTCTCTTGTCTCTGCAGCAGAAATACAAATAACATCAGCACTATAACCCACCCAGAGAGAGTTCAGAGTGCAGAGTCCATGCAAGAGCTAAGGACCATTTTGGTAGAATTTAAGTATTTATTAAGTATTATTATCCCAAAATACAGTTTACAAGAGACTCCTGGGCAGACAGGCATTGTGTAGACTCTCTGCCAAAACTCTCTGTAGAGGCCACTTTGAGTGGTTCAATCCAGCATGTGATTTGCTTAATGAAAGACACTTCTCCAGAAGATTTTGGCAGACGCAATCAGTTCAACTGCCAGGCAGTATTCATGTGATTACAAATGTTACTGATCACATTAGATACTTAATAAATCTCTCCAAAAAGATCACAGCTACTGTGTGGCTCTGAAGAAATCAAAATTGTCAGACAGATTACTGTGTTTGCTGTGCACTGGACTATTGATACAATTGGGGAACAAATCTCTTCCTTGGACTGCCAAGCAGTCATTGATAACTATTAATTTCTAGATAATGCCAAGTCTGCTTGTTTGTAAATGTTTATCTATGCATCATGGCAAAGGAGTTTCCTTTTCATGTTATTCTTCTATAAATACATTAAAAAATTTGACTACACTGACTTTCACAGCTCTATGGCAATTCACATAAGCCAAGAGGTTGGCCTGGGAGTCCAAGGTCAATTTTTGGCTTGAAATACCAAAAAAGCAGTATTCTGTCCTTGCATAAAATCCATAAGCAAGACTTTGGCACTGTTTCTTCTCTTGACATTTCAGCAGATGCAATATCACATAGACTTATGACAAACCACAACAAAGCAAAAATAATCTGAGCTGTACCTGTTTTGATAAAAATGCTTTTCCTTATGGTGGGGCACAACTTGCACTCTGTATCTTCCTGTAATTTACTGAACAGCATTTTAAAAATGAATATATGTCCATTGGTCAAATCCCAGTGCTCATTTCAGTGTATTGCATGAAAGCAATCACACAGGCCTCTCTTTTCTGCCCTCAGGAGGAGAGTTTCTGTCTGAAAAAAAAAAAAAAAAAAAAAAAACCCAAACAAAAATCCATTAAATCAAAGAACTGAATATATTGCTTTAAAAGAGTATATAATTGATTAGATCTAATCCCTCTGCACAGCTGTAACCAAGGTGCTCTGCTGAGTGAAAAATCATAGTTCTTAGTGCTGGTTTTTCATCCAGAAAAAGTGAAATGAGTATATTCAGAACTGAGATGCAGGGAGAGCATTTTTATGTTTGAATATTTTAATTTTCACAGTTAACTTCTAGGGAGTAGGCAGTCAAAATTATTAAAGTGTCCTTTATAAGCGCTGCGACAAATTCCACTTTCAACTGCACTGCTCTTAATTCCTCCGGGTGATTGATGGCTTCCTGTTGATGATGCCTTCAGTCCTGTATAATTTAATTGTACCAGACAGCAAGTGCTGAGGAGCCAGCTGTGCTCTCAGTTACACTGCTGTTTCTCTAGAACAACTCTGAGTTGAATCCAGCTGTCAGTCTAACCCTGTTGTCTGAAACTCATAATCTTCCAAGGCAGATCTAGGTCTGAGTGTGTGGTTCCTATTTCAATCTGAGTTAAATTACTGACAGTTGCTTTATTATCAGTACTCGAGCAAAAGCTTAAAAACTATTCCCAATATACATAATTTAAAATTGCTTGCTGTTGTATTTTCCTTAGTGGAAAAGCATTTCCAAGCTTTTTTCCTCTGTATACAGGGGGAAAAAATAATTTTAGATCTTTAAGGATATTCAAGTATCATTTATTTAATTGTGATCAAATAACTTAAATATTTTGTGGATTCTTGTCACACTTTTGGAGAAACAAAGGCTGAATCTTTTGCATGGCACCATCATTTCAGAAGCCAATTTCTCATGAGACTCGAGATTGTTGGTGCAAGGAATTCACACCAGCAAGTGCAATTGTGCCTGAAGAGAAATTTCTTCCTGAGCATATCTTGTGGTTTTTACCCTGTGGTCTGTGGTCCCTCAAGCAAGTTTGCAGACTGGCTTTGAAGAGTTTCTTGGGGGGAGAAAAAATTAATTTAGTGGGCTTAAATTCACTGTGGATGAGTTTCCCATCTACACTGCAAAAACCCATTAGAGGTTGAAACCCACATGTTAAGAAATTATCTCAAAGCTCTGTGAAACAACAAGGTCTTCAGCCTGCTGGTGTTCCTCTGTCCTGATACCTCCTGGCACAGCAGACACAGCAAAGGGCTAATTAACCAAGGCACTTTCCAAAGGAGAAGCTGGGCACTCTGTGTGGGTCCTGTCCCCTCCTGCCTGGCCTGGGCAGCAGTGCCTCTGTCCCCCAGCAGTGCCCACTCTCTGTTATTCACTTCTTCTTCTCAGATTCCAAGCTTGTGCAGGACAGGCTGTTTCACAACATCTTTCCCTCTCCTCCCCAGCCCTATATCCTCCTCAACTCAAACTTTTGACATCCACCTTTGCATTAAAGAGGGTTTGTTCACATTCCTTGCCTGCTTTCACTTATCAGCTTAGTGCAACAGCAGGCGCTGTTCAACGCTGCTCCCTGCTTGCACAATGAAATCTTGGATGAGTGAATGCTCCCATTGTTGGGAGCCCAGGAGAAATCATAGAATCATCTTAACATCAAACAGGCTTATTGGATTTCACAGTAATGCCAACAAGCTGTCACTGCTACCACAAACTCTGCCTGGGCATCACTCAGGACTATTTATGGGCAGGAAGAGCAGCTCTGGGAGCACTCAGTTGCAAACTGAAAGACTGTGAAAGAGCGGTATCAATTACAAAAATGAATTATGGCCTTGATGGCATTGGCTTAGAAACTCCCTGATATGCAGGAGCAATCCTGCATGGGGCTTACCCTTGTAGCAACAATTTCCAAGACTTAGGAGTTATTCAGTGAAGTTATTTGTGTGTCAAACTTGAGAAATTATAGCTGGTCAGCATGAGCCAAGCATCAGCAGTGGTGTAAGGATATGGAAGCTCTACCTGTCAGAGTAGAGAAGGCCACAGGGGGCCTTTGTAGGGCCTTGGTTGCTGTATTTCACTTTAGTATATCTGCATCTCTCAATAATTTGTGTTTAACCAAAGCATCTCTGATAGAAAGCCCTTTGGAGTATCAATCCAAAGGCTGGGAAAGGTGTACAGTAATACAGCCTTTATTTACCAGTAGTGTTAAGCTCAGTTGTCTAAGGGTGGGTAATCCTACAAACAACTGGTTCTGTTTGGTTTTCTGATACACAGCTCCTATGCCCTTGCTCTGTAACACTGGGACCTGTCTCAGTCATGCCTTGGCATGTCAGGCCTGTCCAGGTCCTCACAGAAACAGAAATTGATCTTGTGGCACCCTGGCACCAGCTCCTCCCCTTATATTCTGCCTCAGCTCTCCCAAGGCAGCACTGCTGTCTGGTGGGCTGCACCCTCAGTCCACCCTCCAGATAGAACAGACATCACAGACACATCTGAAAACCTCTGTGGGTGGGATTAAGGAATTGTGCTGCCTCCACTGCATTCAAAAAAATCTTTAACTTCCCAGTAAAGCCTGTTGACAGTATAAGAACCAGCACAGCTGCAATTGTTGCATTCAAAAAAAATCTTTAACTTTCCAGTAAAGTTGACAGTATAAGAACCAGCACAGCTGCAATTGCACCTGGTCTCGACATGTCATGTGTAAGTACAAAACATTTCAGCTGACCCTAATCCAAACAAGTGGAACTCTGCTATGCACCAGAAGAGCCCAGCACAGCTGCTGGAGGTAAAGCCCCTCTACTGACACTTTGCCACTTAAGAGTTATTTATTATTACTCAAGTGCATGGGAAACTTTTGGAATGTAACCCACGCTCAGAACTTTGTCCTAATCAGTTTGCTACTGATAGCTCAAGAAAGCTGAAGTCACTCCGACTTTACTGTGTAGGGCCTGACACAGCTGCCCAAGGTCACAAGAAACCAAAGGCAAAGCTATAAAAATGCCTTATGGTTTGAGACACATAATTGTCTTATGTCTCTTTAATTGGCTTTGCTGGGAATGACAATTTGAGCTGAGTGTGACTGCAGAGGAGCAAGGAACCTCCTCACCTGCCAAGAGGGATGGCCCTGCTCAAAGGAAGGAGAGGTAGGGCAAGACATGCACAGAGGGGTTTATTAGAGGAGAGAGACCTCCTGCCTCTTGCAAACTTCAGCAGCAGAACTACTGTGGAAATCCTACCCCAGCCAGTTTGCACATATTTACAAACCCACACATGTATGAATTACTAAAATCAGGACATTTAACACACCCTCATTTTGCTCACTGAGACCTCTGGGGACTGCCATGTGAAGTGGCAGAATCCCCTGTGTGCTGTGATAAATGCATGAAAAAATGTGCTTCTCGTTTTCCACAAAGCATCAATCCATGAGCAAAGGGGTGTGTGTGTGTGCTTCAGTCCACAGCTTGGAAGCAATGGTGTGAGGCAGAGAGTAAATCATCTGTCTTGTTTCCCTCTCCTTTGTACATCTTCTTTCCCTCTCCCTTTGGTGCAGGGACTGTCTGAGGTAATTCCTTAGGCTGTTATGCAAGAAGTCAGACTAGATGATCATTACTGAACCTCTGCAGCCTGTGAAAAACGATCTGTGCTTGCTAGAAACCTACTTGCGGGGATGGGAGTGAGTCAGCAGAGATGTCATGTCTGCTGCAGCCAGACGGGCAGACCTGGCTGCCGGGAGATGGAGGCTGAGGGAAAGCATTCCTGCAGGACACCTACCCGCGCGTCCAGGCCGAACGCCGTCTGCTTCAGGTCCTGCAAGGCCCTCTGCATGAACTCGAACGCGTGGCAGTCAACGCAGGGACGGCCTGCGGAGAGAGGCAGGAGGGGACATCGCTGTCACAGCAGGAAAGCCGGAATTTGGCAGTACAGAGGAGGAATACTTGCCAGGAGAAACTCCAGCTCCTACCAGGCACCCACACCTGCGTGCGTGCAAAGTCAGGCCTGCCTGTGTCTGTCTTTGTGCGAGTGTGAGAGCATCGGCAAGAACCACAGAGTACTTTGCTGGGTGGGCTTTTCTGAACACGGCCCAGACTTGACTCTGCCTGCTGCTTCAGCCCCCAGCCTCTCCCCTTCGAACTGAAATCCTTACCCCTTCTCAGATACGGGTTAATTCTCAACAGATACACTGAAAACAGCAGTTTGCAGTGGTTCAGGAACCAGGTCTGTTTTTACAGGAGCTCTTACAGAGCAGTTTGGCGAGGGACAATGCCAGATCTGTATTTGGTTCCTTTCACCTGCTGCTGTATTTTTTCTCTGCCAGGAATGCAAAGCATCCCACTGGCTCTGCAGCTGCTGCCAGTGTGTGTGCACAGAGGGGCAGGGCAGGGAAAAGGCAGAGAGTGGAGGAGGAGGGGACTTGACAGCTAAAATGGCTCACTTCTGAACCTGGGCATTTCTGCTCTGCCAGGATTCACCCTGCACCAATCTCTGACTGTTTGAAGTTAGTGATGTGTGAGTTTTCAGAAGAAGAAATTGCAGACACGGGAGGAGATGCAGGGGGAATGGGGAAACGATGACATTTTATACTGATCACAGAGCTCCCATGGTGGGGGGAGTGCCGAAATCCTTGTCCTCATGCAGCCACCTGTGTTGCTCTACCAAAGCAAAGAGGGTGCAAAGCTGCTGCTGAGATGGCTGGGGAGCTCTCTGGAGCCAGGGACCTGCTGAGCAGCCCTGCAGCACCCATCTGTGCCTGGCACCCTGCTGCCAGCACTGCCTTCTGACTTGTGCCTGGAGCAAGGCAGCAGCCAGAGTGCTTGCCAGTCCTCAGCAAGCCTCTGAGGGGTTTTGATCTACTCAGGAGGAGTTTCTCTCCCACCTGTCCTTCTACATCTCCCCTCAGTGCAAGTGGCATCTCAGGGAGACCTGGGGATCAAGCTAGGGATTTAATTCCCAAGCTGTGAGGAGATGCTAAGTCCCCACCTCTATCAGAACAGCATTGCTCACAAAGACTGCCTCTCCAGGCACAGAAGTAGTGACAGGAAGGTTTTGAGCACACTTTAAAGATACTCAACCCCCTTCTGCTTTCAGTATTGCAAGTAATTTAGTTGTTTCCACTTCAGAGCATGAAACAGAGCCCTTAGAGAGAACCTGCATGCTCAGACTGCTGTCAGCAAATCCATCATTCTCTCGGTGTCATGCCCTGCTCCCTCCCCTCGCTCTGGGCTGCTCAGAAACACCTTGCCCTGGCTCCACCTCGGGGAGGTGCTGCATGCCCTGAAGTGCTGACAAGCACCAAAGTGTTCTCAACAGCAAAACCTGAAGGAGAAAAAAAAAAAATCAGGTGATAAATTAATGTCTCCTGCTTCTGCAGTGGGGAGAAAGCACTTTTGAGGAGAGCCATGCATTCCATAATCTGTCTCTGCTTGTCACACTGGAAGTCTTCCCAGGGCTTTGTGAAAGCTGTGATGGGATGGTTGGTTGGGATCACTCACTGGTATTTATGACAGCCAAGTGCTCCTTTGTGGACAGGGAGGCACTAGTGGAATGGCACAACCATGTCAAGTGGTTATTTCACTTCTGCCAGTCCTGGGAAACCAGCTGCCCTTGTATCAAAGCATTTTCTGTAGGAAAAGGGTGGTGGCACAGAGGACACCTGCCTGTCCTGAATCAGCATCTGCAAAGCTCCTAACACAGCACTGCCCCCCAAAGTCAGAAAGCACATGCAGCCACTTTCACCACAGAACAGGACATTCACTCTTTAATGTCGTTTTTGGGCTGTGGTGGAGGGTTCACTGCTGTCTTTGTGTCAGGCCAGCATCCCTGCCTGCTGGGAGCCAGTAGCCGATGGCAGATACTCAAGGAAGATACAAGAGTAAGTGTCTAGAAATGTTCTTCCAGCCTACCAGGAGGCTGGAGGATATCCTGTGTCTGGCTGGTGTTTCTACATCTGATAAACCCTCCATTAATTTTTCTCACATTAATTTGCACTGTTGCTTCCTGAATCCACAGAAACTTTTGTCATCTGCAGCATCCTGTGGCAATGAATTCCACAGCTCAGCTATTCACTGAGTGAACAAAATACCATTCCTGTCTGCTCTGAAAGTTGACATCTGCCGCTTTCATTTCCTGCCTCTAATTTTTGCAGTGGAAGAGACAGTTATTAAATAATCACCAACTTTGTCCCACTTAAGACTTTGATGTTCTCCATCACTCTCTGCCTTGGTCTGCTTTCCAGAATGAAGAGCTGAGCTGCTAAGCTGACCTATCTCTGTGGATTTGACCTCTCTTCATGCCCATAATATTTTCAGCAAGGTGCCCATGGATATTTCTCCAGCAGAAATATGTCTAAGCATCTGTTTTACCAAAAAAAAAAATATAAATATGTGCTGTTGCCAATAGAAGCAATCCCACTGTGCTTTCTGTCCTTGGCTATGGCATCTCACACTTCCACCTGCTCACAGGAGGAGGGACAATGCAGCTCCTCCATCAGCTGGAGCACTGACCTTTCTGCCCCCAGAGCAGATTCTGAATGCCCAAGTTCTGGGGCCAGGAGAAGAAACAGTGCAAGGAGAGGAGACCGGGTTATGGAGAGGAGAAGGGCAGAGGCTTACATCAGCTTAAAGCAGTCATGAAACCAAATCTTAAGTCACATCATAGCAAAGTATAGCAGAGTGCCATTAATTCCTTGCTGACAGCTGGAAACAGACTGTCATTCATAGGGAGACTTAACAGGTCTGTGGATTAACATAATGAGAATTATCAAGAGCCAGCTATAACTCTTTAAATGGATCCTGTCAGCACGAAGACTGTATGTGTCTTTGTGTGTTTTGGGAGAAGTGGGGGAAGAAAAAAAGTATATTTCATGGCTTCTTAGTGAAGACCTGGGACTGAAAGCAGTGTGTAAGTATAATTTACTTTCCCTTGCATACACTTGGTGTTTATTCTTTGTATTTCATGCACCTTGGCTAATGAAAACACTGACCAGCTTCTGGTCTTCAGATTCCATATTTTAGCTTTCACAGTGGGTGATCTGGGCTATAAATGCAGTGGGAGGTTGGGGAAATTACTTATTTTTTTTCTAGCGGTTTGCAGAGAACTTTAAAGAAAAAAATCTGTGAGTATTAGTAGCACCACTTCAAACCTGATCAGTCTTTTGCATATGCTAAGTGCTGTAAATAAAGTATAAGGACACAATTAATCATTGCTAATTAGAATTATGCATAAAGAGCTGTGCCTGGCTGTGTGACTGGCAGAGAGCAGGGGATGGTGCCCCGAGCCAGATCTCAGTGCCTCACACAGGACAGGATCTCTCTGCACTGCTGAAGAGATCTGTGACTCACTCTCATGCTCCTCTCCTGTGACTCCTGCACCTCCCACACTTGTACGGAACACCGCTGCCCCTGTCCTGCTCATGATGCTGCAGGAGGGACACATTCCTCCCACCAGGTGGGAGAGAGACTGTGTGGTCCATGCGGGAATGCTCCTGCTAAGGGTGTGCTGCCCGTGCCACGTCACACACCTGGGAACAGAGAAAAGCATCGAGCACTGTCACTATAGGACACAAAATAAAATTATGCAGACACTGGAATCTCTAAGGTAAAAAGAAGGATGATTAATTTCTGACTCTAACATTTATAGATTTTCAAAAGTGACAGTGGATTGGAGGATGACAGTGCCACCTCTCCAATGACACTGGACAAACCAATAGTCCATCAAATTTCTCCTCCTCCAGAAAAGAATGTAAAACAGTTATTTAAATAAAGTGTGTGAGAAAGTTCATTGCAAGAATGTAAACATCAAAAGGCTTAGAAGAACTTAGAAGAACTTAGAAGAACAGGGTGACAGAGCCCCACACTGCTCTGCCCTGCAGAAGGACACTAAATATGGCCCATGTCCACCCTGTTAAGAACATGCACTGGAGACCCCTCTGGGCCATCCAGGATCTCACACCCAGCAGTTTGTCTGGGCTGACAGTAAGGCCATAAATGCAGCAATAGGGAAAGTGTGTGCTGCAGAGGCAGTGCCCTCTGAAAGGGTCAGTGCCCACGGGGATCAGCTCCTGTTGAGATGTAGCCAGTGGAGCATCAAGAGGGAAAGGATCCAGGAGTGTCTGTACTAGATCACACCAAAATGAGTGCCCTACCCAGTGCCCAGTCTCCCATAATCTGCATTGCTTGAGGAATATTGAAAGTCTGGGAGCATTCCCAAGCCTTGAGAGCATGGGATAGCTCCACTCTGGAACAGTCAGCTCTGTCTTCCAGACAGAGAACTGGCCTCTTCTCATGGACACCAGTGTGCCAGGCTCAGTCCTGGCAGGGTACTGGCACAGTCATGTCCCCATGCGAGGGCGCATCCCTGGGCACTGTTACACCTTCATGGCCAGCAACGGGTGCCTTGGAATAGCATGAGAACAGGGCAAGTCTGGAGGGATGCACTCCCAAAGACCCTCCCAGGTCTCAGGAACATGCTAAGGCAGCCCCTGAGCCAGAAGAAATGCCACTGTATCTAACAGCTCTTTCTGGGATTTTTTTCCCTTGAATTTAACCAATTGGTTCTGCAATCTCACGCAAACCTTTAGCATCCACCATGTCCTAAGGGAAGAGTTTCACAGGTTAACCATCAGGAAGAGCCCTGACAGGCCAAGGAAAGTGTCTGGAGCACTTAGCAGCTATGCAGCACTCTCCCAACAAGTGGTTGACAAGGACCATGGGGAGTTCCTTGTGGCCTTAAAACTCTGTCCCTGCAGCAGCCCAAAACAATTTGCAATTCACTGATCAGCTGGCAGCCTTGCTCCTGGCCTATTCTCAGACAGAAATAGCATTATGCTTTTGTAGCAGTGCTCACAGCCTCTGCTCCTTGGGATGGGGCAGTGTCTCTCTGGGTAACATTGCCACAGAAACACTGACCTGCCCTTCATTCCACACTCTTACATCCAGGAGTAAGACAAGACAAGGAATCTTCCTCAAAGGCTGTTCAAGGGACTCCACAAGGGACTGTGGAGGCTATTCAAGGGACTCTAGCCATCCTGGCTAGAGGATGGTAATAAGATGGTAAAAGACTCCCTGACACTGTAAGAAGGATGGGACAGACATTTTCGTGGGGTCTGTTGTGATAGGTCAAGGAAATAAAAGAGGGTCTAATTAAACTAGTTAAGGAAGAAGTTTTTACTGTGAGAGTGTGAGGTGCTGGCATGGGTTGCCCAGAGACGTTGTAGATGCCCCATCCCAGGAATTGTTCAAGGTCAGGTTGAACTCGGCTCTGAGCAACCTGATCAAGTTAAAGATGTCCCTGCCCATGGCAGGGGGTTGGACTAGATGAGCTCTAAAGGGCCCTTCCCACCTTTCGATGGTTTTATAATTCTGTGAGACTTGGGTCAGAAACCCTGGCCAAGAGTTTTGTTTTACAGTTCAAATGGGAGTTTTCACTACACAAGCAGAAAAAGAAACTCCTGTATACATTTTCCCAAATGTGTTGACTTGCCTCTGCTAACATAGACACACAAAAAGTATGCACAATTTATTTTCCAGGCCTGATTTTCTGTTTGAGGAGATAAAATGGACTGCTCATCACAAAACTTATTAGAATTAATGAATTCCTGGGAAACAGACACACAAAATAGCAGTGAGATCTGGTTTAGAACAGACCGAAACCTAGCCCTAAAAAAAAAAAAAAAAGATAATGGAAAAAGAAAGAAATTCAACATCTAAGTTCCATCTAACGGAATTAATTGCTAATAAAATGCAGTGACAAAATCAGACCTTGTATTAAATATTTTGATAGTCATATAAAAAGATATCTGTGATACAAAGTAAGCATGACTAAGAACTAGAGATTTGTTTTTATGCAATTATCTTTCTTTGTTGTTTTTTTTCCCAGAGGACATTTTATGTTTCTAATGAGTGGCTATTTCCCACTTGCTGTCACCAAAACACCCCGAGAACATTGACTCCATCCCCTAATAGCTTTGAACTATTGCCTCATTTTGGAGCTGAGAAAGTTTAGAGACTTACTCAAAATGACAGAGGAAACTCATATAGAGCTGTGATCCAAATTCAAGAGCTCCCAGCTCTGTGATGTGCTCAAGCTAGTCTGTCATATTGATTAATTTTTTAGGTTTGCGGGATTTCAGAAATTTATATTTGCTTTCCAAATGCACAGTTTGGGTAAACATCCCCTGTGTTGATTTGTCGTAGCTACAAGATAGTTGAACTTGACCTATTGTTCCAACCAAATACTAAAATAAGCAAGATGCAATGCCCCAGCAGAAATACACACAAATTTTCTTCTTACAATACTCAGACTAGTAAGGACATCATAGGTATTGTGGCAAATCCGTGTATATCAATTAAATCTAGTGAAATGAAACTCTCAAGAAGCAGATCTAAAAGACCTACAAACAAAGAGCTTGAGCACAAGCTCAAATGAAAATTAAGAGTATGCAATTAGCATTTTTTCCTAAATAACTACTAATCCTTTGCTTGCATGCTGTTTCCGTGACCGCTGTTTTCACGTGCTTTGCTGGCATGGCACAAACTCATCATTAATCAGACAGCACCAGGCTCCCCTGGAGCAGGGAGCCCATGTGGCTGCTGGGGGCAGTGGAGGAAGGCAGGCAGGGCAGGGTGCAGCAGGTACCTACTTTCTGCAGGGATGGCACTCCCGGAGTCCTGGCCAGCGCCCACGAGCCTGGCGCTGAGCAGGCTGAGCACCGACAGCAGCAGCATTCCCACCCGCGCCTCGCTCCTCACGGCCGGCAGCGCCATTGCTCTCGTCAATAATTCAAGCTGTCTTCCCTGCCTGCAACGAGGAGAAGCAGTGAAAAAGCAGCAGTTTGCTCCCTGCACGCTCCTCACAAAGAAGTGGGTGAGATGTGATGAGCCCAGACCCCGTGCACACACAAACCCACTCGCACGCACCGCTGCCAGTCACGCCGTGGGCCCGAGGTGCACCCCAAGGACCAGCTTGCCCAGTACCTGATCCTTCTCCTCTCCTGTGTGCCAGACCCTTGGAGCAACTGTAGAGAGAGGCAAGGCTCCAGCAGCCACTCCGAGCATGCGCCCCTTCAGCATCCCCCCTTCCCTGATTAGGGTCATTGCCATGGAGATTTGCTATAGCAACACTGAAAAATTGGAGCTGCCAAGTGGAGAAGAAGATTTAAAGGGACCACAATGTGATGGGTGGTCACTGCTGCACTCCTCTGCTCCCAAAGGTCATGCCCTCTCCTTGGCAGACACTGGCTGCTGCTACCCACATAAGAGAGTCTTGGGCAATTTTTGTGTTTGTTGCTGTTATTCCCGAAGGGACTGTGCTGAAAAACACAGCTCCCATCCCCTGCTTTAGCTGTAACTCACTTAAAGTGAGATTTCATTCTGCTAGGCATCAAATGAGAGAAAAACTCAGAAGTTTGCTTGGCTAAATGAAGTTGCAGGGCCTGCTGATGGTACCCTGTACTTTGGGGAAGAATCCATTATGGTCTTTGTTTAACTGCACTGAAAATGAGGCCTTGTGGACAAGAGCATCCCTGGCACATGGACCAACCACAAAAACAGATCCTGCACAGCATCACCTTAGGGTAACCATGATAAGAGCCCAGCCAAAACCTACTCACTGCAAAAGTTTAAGGATGTTCTCTTCAAACACAACTTTTGGTCTGGGATCAGCCCTTATTTATTTATTTGCTTATTTATTTATTTCTTGTGTCCTGACAAAGTTAAAGCAGGAAGTTTCCTGGACAGGGAATCTGTGTAAGCACCTGGCTGAAACCAAGCATTCAGGGGAGGTGATACTTTTGGAAAAGAGAAAGAGATGCTCCAACACCTACCTGCTTGCCCCAGAGCGTGATTAAAGGCTCATTTTGCAACATAACTATTCAATTCATGGCTTTGTTGTTCTCACAGAAGGACACTCCATCTCTTCTCACCAAGGAGAGGCTCCAGCCTTCCTGGCCTGTACAGAATGACCAGCCGGCCAGGCTGTGGAGGTATCAGTCTTCCCAGACACAGACTTAGTTTATCCTTGGCTTTCTCAGCCCTAGCAACTCCCACCAGCACTGCCCTCTGCAGCTATTTCACTTGTTCCTGTGGCTTCTTTATAATTACCTCTTACAGCCCTCCCTTCGATGCTTGTGCTTTTGGATCAGGGTAGTCTAAAAGTCCTCTCACAGGACCTTCTGGCAAAGTGGACATGCCTCTCTTGCAAGGGGGCAGCCCAGAGTTATGGAAGCAATTCTTACAAGAATGACACACTGCCAAATTTTTAGCCCACAGTGCAACTGAAACTCAAATTCCCTTGTGTGGAAGATCCAGCAGAAGGTCTCAGCCACTGGGATGTGGGTGAGACTGGGTACACGTATGCACCAAAATATCTCCAGTGGCTTTATGAGAAGCTAAGACTCCTAATCCAAGCTCGGATGCTGGATGCCTGAATTGTGGTTGTGTGAGATGGATCAGTTTTACATTGTTTGTCTCATCCCAGCCCTCCCAGTCTTGTTAAAGGAGCAGCTCCACAACAGCCAGGATAGAAACAAACTTTATAGAGCTTGACTGTACACTCATCATGGGCTGGTCACACTGTCTAGCCATGATCTTCAGTTTTAAATAACATCAAATGGGAATTCTGGCACAAAATCCAAAATCCTCACACTTCCATTCACCCTGGCATATGAGTTTCTTGCCCATACTCTCATTATAGTCCCATAGCTATAACCCACTTTTCATACATGAATTTCAAGAAAGGGACAGGAAGGAATTACCTACAGGTGCAATAACCTTTGATGAGGTAGAAAGAACTATTTGTTCTAATATTTTTTCAAGGTATCAGTGTAGCCTTTTCTCAAATTCTAACTACTGTGATATCTGCAGTAGGGCATTCTGCATCCACCACCTAAAGGGGTACAAGATGTTATTTCAGTGTTGCTTATACTACTAAGCTTAAAATTATGGTGGGTTTTTTTTCCCCTGTCTTTTCAGTGCCAACATAAACCAACCAGACATTACATTTACAGAGTCTGGTCAGTTTTTGTGTCAAATGCCAGGGTCTTTAAGAAACTTGAAAAAAGTTTCCAACTCCTCCTGCTAACAGAACCATGTGGTCCAAGATGTGGTTCTCAATTCACAGAGAACAGGAGCCAGTCTGCATGGAAAAATTCCAGAAATCTGTGCTATTTTCTCACCTCCAACAAAGCTAAAGAGGAGAGACACGTGAAAACATTTGCATGACTTGCTTGGCTACTACATTCACTATTGGGTGTCACCATAGCTAAGGAATACCAGTACTAAATTAACTTTGGAAGACAAGAAAATTCCAAGAGATTCACAGAAGTCTGTTTAGTCTCTGAAAAATAGCATTGTGAATCCCAGAGGGCTGTCAGAAATATTTTTACTTAATTTTCGTTTTCTACAGAGAATACACACCTAATAATTGTTTGCTAAAAGAGCAAAAGAATTTCCTCCAAAGCAATCAGAATGATCAGGCATTTAAGGGGAAGATGAATAGTGAGGATAGACATCTGGTGGCTTCCTTGGAAAATTTCTTATTTATTCCTAAGTGTTACAGGTATTGAAAGTTACATCTTTGAAGTGGGGGAAGAAAATTTATATATCCAGTTAAAATGACTTACATTAAAGGCCTGAGTTGAATATGTGTGCATAAAAGGAAGATGCAGGCAAAGGTTCTGGTCTCAGAACTAGCTCCATTATTACAGTCATGGGCACACATGGCAAACAGGGCAGTTAATCCCAGCTAATACAAAGTGTTACATCATTGCCCACTCACATGGTCATCAGCCCTTTGTTGGACTCAAACAGAAGAAAAAGCCACAGGCACAGAAGAATCTGTGTTGTCTGGTCATTACCTGAAGGACAGAAGGGCAGGAGAATAACCCCAGGCATAAGCCCAGAGAGGCCAAGACAAAAAACCAGACAAAAGCAGTATGAAACATGAAGAACAGCAAGAAAGTATCCTTTAAACACAAAGGGAGTAAAATAAGGAAGACAAAACCCAAAAGAAGAGTTTATTCTTTGTTCAGCAGAAGGGGAAACTTAATCAAGTTGATGCCTTGAAAAGTGGTACAGAACTAAGCATCTCTTTTATCCACCAATGAAAACAAGGCGAGCTAGTGAGCAGAAGGCTCACACAACTAATACCAGTGAACATGTTTTAGGTGAAGACACTTAGCAGAAATTTACTTTGGTTACTGATGCTTGTAGGTTTGTGATAGTCCCTTTTCTATGTTTTGATCTGCCTGGAGCTCTCTTTTGACTCAGGGCTATCACTAGACCCACCACAGGAGATTGAAAGAAGAACCTAGAACAACCACCATGGGCAATTACTGCTGAGAGCTCAGGGAAGATGTGACTTGTGCCAGTCTTGGAAAAGGGCAAGTGCCGTGGTGCTGTTAAATGAGGCAGAGAACTGGAAAAAGACACACAAGGCAATTTACCATCCATCCCTGAGAATGTTTTTCAAGCAATAATCCCACCAACATTTTGTGTTTGAAAAACAAGAACTGGAATTGCAAATAAGAGCTATTTGTCAAGAATCAAGTCAAGCTAGTTTGGTATCCTTCTGTGACAGGGTAACAGGCCTTGCAGATAAGGAAAGCCAAATTTAATCAATTCCAGGGCTGTGTCACACAGCAGTGTCAGAAACAACCTAAGGAAACCTCTGAGGCCAGCAAAACTGGCTGGGTCACTGCTGGGAGTTGGCAGTGGGTCATTGTCCCCTTGGGAAGACGCATCACATCAGGACTGCAAAGACTCAGTTCAGGGGTTATTCAGCATTTCATTAGATAACTGGATAATGAATAAACAAAGTGTTTTTTAAGATGCAACATCAGCCTGGAGGTTACAAGCAATGCTGGGGGAGAGGGCTAGAATTCTAAACCAGGCAGACAAGCTTGAAAAAAGGGTCTAAAAACCAAATGAACTTTTATAAAAATGAGAGCAAGGTGCTACACTTCAACAGGATTAATCAACAGCTCATATTTGGAATGGGGAATGGCCCATTAAGTGGCACTTCTACGGTGAAGCTAGGGAGTCACAAGCTGAAATTGGTTTATAATATTCTGTTTTTCCCCCCAAGAATACAATTATACTGGGACATACAAAAAAGAAGTGCAACAGCTGAGGCTGACTTCAGCACAAGGCCTGAGCTGCAGTGCTGTGTCTGGTTTGGTCACTGCAGTACTAGGAACTGTCAGAGACACCACCAGCAGCAGAAATAACCACATTTAAATGGCAGCCAGGAGGCACAACCAAAGCCCCTGGAAAACTTCATAATAATGAGGAAGGCTCTGGGATGGATTTCCTGCAGGGGAATATTTAACCCTGCAGGTACAAATTAGACATCATTTGGGAATGGCATTGGGATGTGGCCCTGCATAAAGACAAGGGAAGAACTGATCAATTTCTTATTGATACCTTTCCCTGTCCCTTCTCTCCTAATTCTGTGATTAAGAATAATTTTGTTCCCCAGGCAGTCACTCCAGCTCTCTGTGTTGTAATTCCAGCACAAACAGATATCCCTGGGAGAAATTAATTGCCCTTGTGCAGCATCTGAAATTCAGACTAATTATTTCTCCTGCCTCAGTTATCAGGGCAAAGGAAATGTTTTTTCTCATCTAAACAAGCATGATGTCAGAACATTCCCATTCTGGGGTGGGTCACTGATAAGGCAATTCGGAGACATTTGGCTGCAGGGCAGCTGGCAGGGCCCACAGTTCCTTCATCTGCCTTTAAACAAGTAAACCATAACCTTGCCAATGAATTGTGAGCTGAGAGGCTGGTGCACTATTTGACATTTTAGCCCATAAACAAAATAAATTCTATTCTCTTTTTTTTATGACAGCCATCTCAGTCCTGAGAAGGACTGAAAATAAAATCCCCTTATACTTACCTTGTCCCTCATGCTATGAGATAATGATTCACCTTTGCTTGATGGCTCAGGATTTTCTTTAAACACAAAGTCAGAGGTTTGGCAAGGGGAAAAATCTCCCTCATGAAATGATTAATTTGTTCTTGGCATCATTGCTTGACAAGTTCCCTATCTTAGAGC